ACATTAAAAAAAAAAAGGAAAAAAGAAAAAACAGGATCCAAATAGGCAAAAGAAAAAATAAAATCAGTTAAATCAAAATAAAATATAAGTAGAAAAAAGAAATTCAGAGGCTTCCCTTTGCAAATAAATCAAGCTTAAAAGTAAGGACCTTGATGTTAGTGAAGGGGTTGGCAGAACTCAAAAAAAACAACAACAACACTGCACTCTATTTAATTATCCAAGGCTCTAATTATAACTCCCTTCTCTTTCCCACAAGCTTCAAAGCTGAGCCATGTATATCCAGAAAGACACCTGTAATAATATTCCACAAAGTGCTTTCCTCTATCTTATCAGGGGATGTCCTTGAGAAGAAGAGTCTGTTTTTTATTTTTTTTTTAAATATTTCCGAGCCTCTAGGTGGCAGTGTTACAAAGTATCATAGTTCTCACTTTCCCCCCTCCTCTCTTAAGAGAAAGCCGGCTTGCAATACACAAAACAGAAACAGAAAAATCAAACAAAGTCAAGAGAAGCCTCTAGCCCAGAAAAAAAAAAAAAAAAAGTCCAGAAGAAGAATAAAACATATGAATATATAGAAAAAAGAAAACAGTCCAGTTATCCAATAAATAACAATAGAGTCCGGAAGCAAAGAAAAGGAAAAAAAATGGATTCTCTCTTTGACGTTTCCCTAAAAAAACGCCGCTAAGTCAATTTTGTCAAAAAACAAAACAAAAATCACACAGGTTTCTTCAGATAATTAGAGTAAACTTTCAAAATTCAAAAAATTAAATAAAAAAAAAGAAGTTCTCACCCAACCGACAAACTCTTTCTCAAACTCTTTCCATCTGGAGCCGCCCCGGCCTCAGCAGCATGGGGGCTGCCTCTCCGCCGCTGGCAAGAAGAGCTTCACCCGGGCTCTCCAGGGATTTTGCGGTATCCCCGGAGTCCTCAGGGTATGCTCTTCACGATGGCTGTCCCTACGGGACAGCGTAGGTCCGTTGGACCGGCCGGTGGCGGAGATATCGGCTGCAATCGAGGACTCGATTGCAGACCGTATCGCCACGGCGCAAGCTCCTCCCATCTCCCAAGATAAGCCTTCTTTAGGAATAAAACACTAAGTTGTCTCCAGCGTCTGTTAGCACACAGGTCCAAACTCTTATGCAAATCTCACACCTGCATCCCATGAAGAGATCATGGACTCCTGAGTAGACCACGTTTTACCCTAATCCTCTCCTTCCTCTGTGCCCTAGGATGGATAGGGGATGGGCCTGGGTCCTCCTCTGATTGCTCAGCCGGCTTCTGCCCTTCCCTAGCCTCCTCCACCACGTCTGGAGCCACACTTCCATTCCCTGTTGGCTGTTCCTCCTCTTCCTCAGAGTCAGTCTCCACCAGAGGCATGACACCTTATAGAGTGATATTAGTAGCCCACTTGATCTTGATTGTATCCCTCTGTTATGCCATTTAGGATTGCATTGGCTTTTTGGGCTGCCACCGCACACTGCTGGCTCATATTTAGCTGGTTGTCCACTAAGACTCCAAAATCCCCCTCACAGTTACTGCTATTAAGCCTGATTTTACCTCATCTATATGTATACTTTTGGTTTTTCTTGCCTAAGTGTAGGACTTTATTTTTCTCTACATTGAATTTCATTTTGTTACATAGGGCCCAGTGTTCAAGTCTGTCAAAATCCATCTGGATCTTCTACGGTGTTAGCTATTCCTGCCAGCTTAGTATCATCTGCAAATTTGGTAAGTTCCCCTTCTATTCCCTCATCTAAGTCATTTATGAAGATATTAAAGAGTACTGGGCTGAAGACGGAACGTTGTGGCACCCCACTACTTACTTCCCTCCATGTAGATTTAGACCCATTAAGGACTACTCATTGAGTACAGTTTGTCAGCCAGTTACAAATCCATCTGGAGGTGATACTATCTATACCACTTTTTTCTAGCTTACCAAGAAGTAGGTTGTGGTCTACTTTGTTGAATGCCTTGCTGATGTCTAAGTATATTATGTCCACATTATTTCGCTGGTCTACTAATTTAGTCACTATGTTGAAGAATGAAATAAGATTGGTTTGGCATGATCTGTTTTTGAGAAACCCGTGCTGGTTGCTAGTTATTATTTTACTTGTTTCTAGATTTTGGCAGATCTGTTTTTTTATTATCTTTTCCCAGTATCTTCCCGGGTATTGATGTTAGGCTGATTGTACTGTAGTTTCCTGGGTCTGTTCCCCCCCGCTCCCTTCTTTGAAGATGGGAACTACATCAGCTCTTTTCCAATCTTCTGGTAGTTCCCTGGTGCTCCAGGATTTTTGAAAGATGTACAGTTGTTCTGAGATGATATCTGCCAGCTCCTTTAGAACTCTGGGATGTAATCCATCAGGTCCCAATGATTTGTATTCATCAAGATCAGAAAGGTGTTGCCTTATTATTATTTTTGCTTATTTTAACTTTAATTTCTAGTCTGTCTTTTACAGTTATGTTTTTGGTAGGTTGGGCTATAGTTTCTTTTGCGTGAAGACCAATGCAAAGAATAAGTTAAGCAGCTTTCTCTCTGTCCCTGTTACTTTCTTGCCGTCTTCTCTCTTTAGTGAAGTGATTGTTTCCTTGATTTTTTTTTCTTGTTATTTATATGTTGGAAGAAACTTTTTTCATTATCTTTGATTTTTGTTGCAAGTCTTTGTTCATTCTGAGTCTTTGCTTTCCAGACTTCACCTTATCTGCTGATATTTTGCCTTAGTTTTGTTTCCCTCTTTCCATTTTTTGTACATGTCCTTTTTGTCTTTCAATTTGTCAGAGAGACCTTTGTACAGCCATGCTGATTTCTTATTTGATTTCTTGTTGTTTTTTTCTCAGTGGTACTGTGCTGGTCTAGGCTTTTATGATCATCCTTTTCAGAGTTTCCCAAGATTCTTGAGTTATTTTCCCCTTTAGGATTTTCATCCAAGGAATCCTTCCCAAGTTATCTCTGTGTTAAAATCTGCTCTTTTAAAATCTAAGACTCTAGTATCATTATGTTCTATTGCTTGTGTTTGTGTTATGTTGAACTCTATGATAACATGGTCACCCTCACACAAGCTTCCTGTTTCAACTCCCTCTATCACTTCTTCTGTTTGTAAGAATTAGTATGGCTAATCCAGTATATCTGTCCCTCTAGTTTCCTCCTCTACCTTTTGGACAACAAAGTTGTCAGCTTGGTTGGTTAGGAACCTATTTGATTTTTCAGCTGGTGCAGAATTAGTCTTCCAATTGATATCAGGGTAATTTAAGTCCCCCATTACTATTGTAGTGTGTTGCCTACATATATTTATGAGTTGGTTGGCAAAAAGCACATCTATTTTTTCTGCTTGATTGGGTGGGCAACTTTTGTGAACACGCATTTGGAAAATGTCTGCTTACCTTAAGGACATATGGGCTGGATACTATTATATAAACATGGATAAGATAATGTGGATAAAAGTGCCAACCAATGTAATCTAGATGTTACTGTTTCAAAAATTCAAAGTAGCTTACTATAAATAGACTCACATAAAGAAGAAAGCACATCTGATTATACAGTATATGCATAAGTGGTCAATGCTTATGACTAAAAAACACAAAGAGGAAGCAGTATAGCTGGACTGTATGACAACTATACATTATTTTTAGAGTAAAGGTAGTATGATTTGTCCATATGCATTAAATGTTGGGAAAATTAAATTTAAAAACACAAAGTTCATTGGAACACCTCATGGAGGCAACGAAGTGTCAGAAAGTCCAGTTTTGTGGCCAAATACAAAGGGAGACTAGAGTTCAGAAAGTGTTGGGAAAGTGCCAGTCAAGCTGGACAGAGGGTCAAGTACCAATAAAGGAGGATATTTGTAGCTCAGGGTTGAAATGAGGGGTCCTTGGTGCTCTATGAGCTTTCTTGCTTTTTTGCAGAGGTTTCATTACCTCTGCAAGAAAACATCAGCAGCAGTAGTAAGTGCTGTTTACTGTCAGTTTATATTCTGGTGACTTGCCTGTCTGTATGGGTGTGGGTGATCTTAGAGATTCTTTGGTTGGGCTGTTTACTGATGGCTTTTTGGCAGTTTGTTGATTGGGGTATTGTTTACTTAATTGTTGGACTGAAATTAACCTTGGAGTTAATCTATGGTGATCTGGTTGCTGATTACTGGTGAAGAGTTTTTGGAGTCTTTTTGTTCTCTTTTGTCTCTATAGATGTTATTAATGTCTATGTGTTTATTGATGGCTGATCTGTCAGAGTGCCTGGTTTCTAAAAATTCCCTGGCATTTTTAGATTTGGCCTGGTGTAGCATTGTCACACTTTCCCAATTAAAACTGTGGTTAAATCTATCTATATGTTGTGAAATTAAATAATTTTTGTCATGTCTTCTGGCTGCCAGTTGGTGTTCATGGATGCGTTCTGCCAGTCTTCTGCCTGTTTGTCCTACATAGTGATTGTTGCAGTTCTTACATTGTATGTTATAGATGACTCCTGTTTTTTTTTCTAGGGTTGCTGGATCTTTTGGTTTGCTTAGGATGTTTTGAAGGGCTTTGGTTGGGTTGTGTGCTATGCTGATTCTATATGGTGTAGTAGTCAGTTGGTGGTTTCTCAGATATTCTGAGAGGGTCAAGTGGAGGTCTAGATTGAAGTCCTTGTGTGACTACAAAAATGTGCAAATTATCTCACAATATTTGGCAGTAAAAGCTGTATATGCATGTGAAATAATTACAGTTTTTTTCCTCATCCTTATGATCTTAAGAATATAACTTATTTGTATATACACCTCCAAACAACAAACATGAAATAATCATAAACTGAAGGATTTTAGAACAGAAAATGGAGGGTTTTTTAAAATTTTAAAATCTTGAATTTAATTAATTATGGTAAAGAGATTATGTTAATTTAAATTTTAAAATATGCTTAGAGAAATACAGCAAAACAAACTTCACTGTCTTCCTAACCATGCTGCAATCATTACATAATCAATTACATATTTTTTCAAGTAAAATATAATTAGAATGATTGATGCACTTACATTTATAAAGCTGACATTCAACTCTTTAGCAGTATATCCTCTTTGCAAGTTGCGACGGGCATAGACATCATAATCACGTACAATTCTAGTGATAATATCTGAAGTTGAGATACCTTCAGTTCTCTGAGTTGGTACAAACATACCTTTTGAAAGGAGAAAAAGAAAACAGAACTGTGATAAAAACTCCAGCTTTTGTATGATTAATTATTTCAAAATGGTTGAGGCCCTTGTTTCCTCTCGCTTGGGTTAGTGAAAAACACTTTACATGGGATTGTCCTTGAGGAGCATTCAACTTCCCTTTTGGCATTTAGAAAGTCTATACTGAAAGTGCCTGAGGCTGAAGTAGTATGATCAATCCCATTTCAAAGAGAAAGTATTTTACTTTTAGATTAGTTGATTGAGAAAAACTTCCAGTGATGAGGTATGGACAAGTAGAGGTGCTGAAGCTTGCTCGGGGCTTTATGCTACCTTTTCTTGCTGTTGGAGCGACCCTCAGGGGTGCAGGTATCCTGCAGAGAAACGTGTCGGTGTGTGGTGTCTCGAGTTGTGGAGAGGGCGACTCTCATCATGACGCAGAGAGACCCTGTAGAGACCAACAAACAAGAGACTGCCATCCAGTAATGGTGGTCCTGAAGTCTGGATCGCTACCTACAAGAGGAAGTGAGTGAGTGACAGACTGTGGTGAACAGAGAAGAGTGTGAGTGAAGGAATCTGCGATTTTGAGAGAGCATAGAGCATTGGAGAAGTCTCGTAGATGACAACAACATCAGTCAGAGCAAAGCCCGAAAATAGCGTCTAAAAAGTGGATGCAAGAGGCGGTGAAAGCGAAAGGGCTCAGGAAACAGAAGACAGTAAGGACGCAAGCGACCGGACAGAGAAGATAAGAATGTTGGAGAGGCTTGTGGAATTGACACCAACGGGGAAAAAAAAGAGAGGAAAAAGTTAACTTTTGGAATGCGCGAGCGATTTGGATTGCTGCCATTCGGGAAGACTGGATTAACAAGTGTGAGACAGGGGGAAGATCGGAAGTGGGGAAGCAAGCAAAGTTACTATATTTCTATAGACAATACTTAAAAATTCACTGGAGTTCTTTTCCTTTTTTGGACTATTGACTTAGAGGTCTAATAGGTTGAAACCTGTTAATTGAAGAGACCATATGAAATTTGGAAGATTGGAATGCAAGAGATTTGAACGAAAGGAGGAACGGCTATAGCGGAGGGTGCAGTGAGACTGTGAAATCAGAGACATTACTCAGCAATTCTGCACTTCCAGTGTGTTTGGAGATGGAACTTTTTAATTTTAGAGATGGAAAGTTAAACAGTTACATTGGGATACTCCAAGCCCTGTAGCCTCTGCTGTTTGGACTAATTATCTCTCTGATATCAATTTTCCTTTTCTTTCCTCAGGTATTTGATTGTGGTAAATGTGTTGTATATCTGATTTAGTTGATGTATTAGCAATACTGAGGTCTATATTTCGCTTTAATATATAGGGGAAAGGAGGGGAATGACAACAATTAACTAATTAAGTATTGATATTTGATTATATTTGTTGATTATATTAGAGTAAATAATTAATTGTGATATCCATATTTCAAATAATTAACTGTTGTATAGTAAGGTCAACTTATTTCCACTTAGACATAAACATTTAAAACACTATTTTATAATATTGATATTTAGATTAAGTGTTCCATAGCTTTTATAGATATACAGATTATTAGTACTTAGAATTTAAGTATAGGAATTTTGATATAAATACCAAACTTTATAAATTTAGATATTTGATTTAGAATTTAATTTTGAAATTGTCTTGGATAATATTTATACTTATAAAAGTGTCTAGTCCACTAATTTACTAAGGAAATCAGGAATCAATCAATTAGAGTAGTGTTTACTCCTATCTGTTATTTTTGAATAGTGAATGCTAATTTGGGATAACATATTTAGTATAATACAAAACCAGAAACAAATTCTCAAAGAAATGACCTCTACAACTACTACAACGCTTAAAACTGGGAAGAAGACTATTCCAACATTAACAACCGTGGCGGCATCCCCCTCAACGATGGCACAAAAGACAATTGAGGAACCATTGCCTGGGGAGAAACAACTCTCTATCACAAATGCCAATATCCAGTCGAAACTCCTCACCTTACAAGAATCTATGCTGAAGCTCCAAGAAATGATGACGAAAAATCATACGGAGACAAGAGCTGATACAAATAAACTAAAAGAAGAGCTGGGGAAATTAAAGGAGGAAATGAAAGTAGATATTTCAAAGTTGGATGAAAAAATTGGAACAATCCAGCAAGCAATAGAGAGAAACAAATCGATAATAAAGGAGGTAGAGAAAAGGACTGAACAAACTGAAAATAAACTGGAAATGGTTGATGAACATCTAAGGAATGTGAGCAAAGAAATGGAAGACTCCCTGGTCTATTTGGAGATGGATAGGGCTGCAGCATATTTGAGATTCCAGAACATAGTGGAATCAAAAGAAGAGGATCTGGAACAAGTGATAACAGAAATACTAGCAGAAGTGTTGGAAAAAGACAAAGATGATATTCTGAAAGAGTTGGACAAAGTTTATAGAGTGAGTACAAATTATGCAAGACTCCACAAATGTCCAAAAGAAATTCACATAAGATTTGCTAGAAGAAAGGTCCAAGATATTATATACAAAATATCCAGAGAAGAAACAATCACATATAAAGATAAAGAAGTCTTGGTGCTTGTACAAATCCCAAGAAGAGTGAGAGAGCAAAGGCGAGACTATAAATTCTTGGTGGCCCAATTAAATCAAAAAGGCATTGTATTTAGATGGCTAATCCCAGAAGATTAATCTCATGGGAAGAAAGGAAAATTAGAGTAGATTCTGTGGAAAAAGCCCAAGAATTTTATGAATGACTGGTAGACCCGGAAGAACTGAGTAGTAAAGAACTAGAATCAAATTCGCAAGATGACCAAGATTACCAAAAGAATAGAGACAGGAGTCCCAGGAATCCGAAAAATACACAACAAGAGAGAGAAGGGAAGACATGTTACCAGCCACAAGGAGAAAGAGGAGTAACTACAAGACAAAGAGCAAGAATCAACTAGACAATGGATGAGGAAAAGAAAATATTATCAATTAATATAAACAACCTGAATTCCAGGATAAAAAGGAAAAGAATATTAACTAAACTAATTAAACAAAATGCAGATATAGTATGTTTACAAGAAACCCATATAAGGAAGTCAGATGAAAAATATTTAGAATGCCCGAAGCTAGGGAAACTATATACGACACCAGCAGACTCTGGGAAAAAGAAAGGGATAGCAGTATATGTGAAAGAGCATATGAAAGCAGACCTAATTTGGACAGATTCCAACGGAAGAATTCTGGTTTTACAAATCTGGATTAACTCAACCCCAATTCTATTAGTAGTGATTTATGCCCCTAATGAAAACAAAAAAGAATTTTTTAAACATTTGCATGAAAAAAATAGTAGGATTATTAAAAAGGAATATTTGTATCTTAGGGGACTTCAATGCCATTGTGGACCATCAAAAATATCACAGTAGTGGAGGGAAGAAGAGGAAAAAGAGAGGGCTACCGAAAACATGTGAGGAAATGATGACTGAATTGAATTTGATAGATGTGTGGAGAAAATTAAACCCGGAGAAAAAACAATTTACATTTTACTCAAATCGACACCAATCATGGACACGAATTGATATGGTGTGGATGAATGGTGAAATAGCAAATGAGTTAAAAGAGACTGAAATTTTACCTAACAAATGGGCAGATCATAATCCGATTCAGATATTGTGGAAAGGTAGGAAAAAGCCAAGGAAGAGGTGGACGCTAAATACACAGCTAATTAAAGAAAAAGAATTTATGAATAGACTCAAGGAGGAATTAGATTACTTTTAAAAAGAAAACAATAATGAGGCAACTACGAAGCAGAATATTTGGGATACAATGAAGGCTGTAATAAGGGGCACAATGATATCATATAGTGCCAGGAGGAATAAAGAAAATTATGCCCAATAAAATAAATTAAAACAAAAAATTAAAGAACTAAAAGCCAGTTACAAGTACTCCAAAGGATTGTAAATTGCAAAATCAAGTGATAGTAACTAAACACAAATTGAATTTAATTGAACAGGAAGGAATGATTACAAAGTTGAATATAGCTAGACAGATATTCTTTGAACAGGGTAACAAACCAGGGAGATGGTTGGCCTACAAACTCAAAAAAGAAAAAGAAAAAAATATTAATTTATCAATTAATAGATGGAAAAGGGGATGCCCAACAGGGAATAGAACAGAAAAAAGAAATTGCATATAAATATTTTGAAGACCTCTATAAAAAGGAGGAGGTAAAGAAGGATATGATAAGAAATTACTTGGGCATAACAAAAGACAAAGCAATTGGGGATGAGATGAAACAAATGCTAATTAAAGATATTACGTGGTCTGAACTGAAAACAGCAATAGAAAATAAAAACAACAACGAAACTCCGGAACCTGAATGGATCTCAGGGGAACTCTATAAGGCAATAGGAGAACAAAGAGGACCCCTTATGGTGGAAGTATATAATGAGGTTTTACTTGCAGCTAAAATGCCAGATTCATGGAGGGAGGCATTGATTTCGTTGATTCCGAAGGAAGATTCAGATCCCCGACTCATACAAAACTATAGACCAATTTCTTGCTAAATACCGACTATAAAATATTTGCTACTATTATAGCAAATAGACTAAAAAGAATCTTGAATGAATATATACATAAAGATTTCTCCCCAACAGACAAATTAGGAACAATTTAAGAATAGTGTTAAATGTTTTGGAATACTACGAAGCCCACCCGGAAAAACAAACAGCCCTTGTATTTTTGGATGCGCAGAAGGCCTTCGACAATTTAAATTGGCAATTTTTAATTCAACAAATTTACAATATGAATTTAGGCACTAAATTTGAAAACATCGTAACCACGATTTACGCCTCACAAAAGGCGAATGGAGAATATATGCGCTCAATAAAAATAGAGAAAGGAGTTAGGCAGGGATGTCCACTATCTCCCTTGCTCTTCATACTATCTTTGGAAACACTACTTATGCGAATTAGGCAGAACACAGGAATAAAGGGGTTAAAGA